TGCCCCGCCCCACGGCCTGGGTTTCGGGGGAGACGGAGGGGAGAGCTAACTTGGGGGGGCAGGGGAGGCGAGGACTGGGAGACAGAGACAAGGGCTTAGAAGCCTACTTTGGGGGCAAGACTTGAGAGTCCGTGGGGGGGCGTCCCTGAAAGCACACGAGTATTTGGGACGTGTAAGGAGACTGGGGGTTCGTGGGGAGTGGATCCCACAGCTCAGCTCTGGGGACTGAGTCCGCTCCACTCCGGGGAATCCGGGCTCCGGGCGGCCACGCGCGCCGGTGATTCACCTGTCGAGGGGCGGGGCAGCCGCAGGCGCATTCACCTGTCGGCAGGATTCCAGGCGCGGAGCTCTACTGCGCAGGCGCCCGCCCGCGGCTCCACCTCCAGGTGAGTGGCTTCAGGTCGGCTCCCACTTTTCCCTATTTTCACCTTTGCGGACTCCCAACCCGAAAAGCCCGCTCAGCCAGGCTAAGCCTCCCGACCCAGATGAGCTCAAGTGGCCTCCATTCAAAGTGGGTGCATGCCTTCAAAGCGGCTCTCCTGGGTCTAAAGTCACATGTTGTTGAATAAATGAGTAAATCAATTAATTAATGGCTACGGGATGAACTGCTCTTACTAAGGACAATATTACAAAAGGAACCAAGCATTTCCCCATAATCTTGAGAGGTTCCCCCTTATGGCACCTGCTTCCTGTGTCTCTGCTGTTATTTATAACTAGAGGCCCAGTGCTCGAAATTGGTGCAAGGGGCTTGGCCCTTGCAGCCTCGCTGGCCCTCGAAGCCCTGGCTTCATCCGGAAGGTCATCAGGGGGAAGGTCATTCTGCTGTTTGGTCTAATTAGCATATTAGCGCTTTATTATATAGGATAATAACCCCTATTGGCCCTCCTCACTAAAGACAGCCCAGAGAGGACAGCAATGAAGAAGACAAGGAAATCAAGGAGATGAGACCCGAGGTCAGCAGCCACAGCAAGGATGGTACCGGTACCCCTGCAACTTCAATGACCGATGCAGATGCCCAGAAAACCCTAAGCCACAAGATGGCAGAGACAAAAGCAGCAGATCTGCTGGCTGAGAGGCTGAGAATTCCTTGCTCCAGAGGCTGAACAGGCCCGGCTGAGTAAATACCATCTCTACCCAAAGTGTGACATCTGACTTAGTCATCCAGCAAGAAGAAATGAATATGAAATTCCAGCATTAAGAAATGAACATAAGATGGGAGCTGAAGACCTTCAATGCTGGCTTTTTGCCCAATGACCAGATATGCATTTTTTTACCTAAAGATGTCTCTTTTTGGTAATGACAAACATGGGTGTGTGTGTTTTTTTTAGGTGGGGGTTTTTTTTTAAGCCTAGTTTTTCTCAATTCACCTATAAACGTTTTTAAATTGTTTCATATCTGTTCAAGTTGTGATTTTTAAGATCCTCATTTTTAGTTTGTAAATAAAAGTTTACAACTTTTTTAAAAAAGTCAACAAACTGCAAGCACCTGTCAATAAAGCTCTTAAACAATAAAAATAAACCCTATGTATTGAGCACTTGCTGTATGCCAAGCAGTATGCTGAGTTCATTGTATGAAGGATTTATTTAAATCTGTACAATCAACTCATAAATAAGGAACTGTTATTGCCCCAATTTGTAGATGCAACAACTGAGGCTCCGGGAGCTCAAAGCTCTTGCACAAGGTAACCCAGAACCCAGAATTTAAACTGAGCTATTTGCCTCTGCTCAGTTCTCTCCCAGCCTCTTCCCTACTCCCCCCAGCCCTCTGCCTTTCCCAAACTCTTGGGCTCCTTCCTGGTGACAAGCCCCTATTTCACAGATGCAGTGAGATTCAGGAAGAGGAAATGACTAATCCAAGGTCACACAGCAATGAAGTGGCAGCGCTGGGCTGTATTACAGGCCTCCAGTGCCCCCACCTTGAAATCTTGAGCTAGGGGAGGGTGCAGTTGGTGTACCCTCCCAAGCCACTGCTATTGGTCCTTGAAGATTTGTTGATTAAATTATAACTACCTCCCTGACCCGTTTGGCTCAGTGGATAGAGCGTCAGCCTGCGGACTGAAGGGTCCCGGGTTCGATTCCGGTCAGGGGCATGTACCTTGGTTGTGGGCGCGTCCCCAATGGGGGGTGTGCGGGAGGCAGCTGATCCATGTTTCTCTTTCATCGATGTTTCTTACTCTCTATCCCTCTCCCTTCCTCTCTGTAAAAAATCAATAAAATATATTGAAAAAAAAATTATAACTACCTCCATGAGGGGCTTTACATATGACCGCAGGCAGCTGAGAATTCTGTGAGGTTGGGATCACTGCGCTCATTTTCCAGAATAGGACACTGAGATTTAGAGTTAAATCCCAGCCCTGGCTGGTGTGGCTCAGTTGGTTGAGTACCATCCTGTGCACCGAAAGGTGTAAGGTCGCCAGTACAATTCCTGGTCAGGGCACATGCCCAGGTTGCAGGTTTGATTCCCGGTCCGGGTGCATGTGGGAGGCAACCAGTCCATGTTTCTGTCTCACATCAATGTTTTCCTCTCTCTCTCTCCCTCTCCCTTTCTCTCTAAAATCAATAAACATATTTAAAGAGAGAGAGAGAGAGAGAGAGAGAGAGAGAGTGAGTTGAAGTCCCAGCCAGTCTGAAACATGTGGGATTTGAAGCCAGGGCAGGCAGACGTCAGAGCTCCTGCTTTTAACCCTGCTGATTCCAGGAGAATCGAGAAGTTGCCCAAGCCACACATGTAGGAAGTAGTAGAGGCATTCATGGTGGACACAGAAGTAGGGGGGCAAGACAGACTGCCTCCCCACACAGGGCCCACGAATGGCTCTGAGCCAGGCACTCACAGGCAGGCAGCCTCCCGGGAGGACAGCTGGGTGCAGCGACCTCCATTTGAACACGGGCTTCCATCCAGGCAAGGGGGAGCTGTGTGGGGCGAACAGAGGTGGGCAGGTCAGCCAGGTGCCCAGGAAACCCAGCTCAGAGTGACAGACCCCCTCCTTCCCTCTTCCAGGCAACAGCTGCACGGAGCTGGGGGGTGTCTCTGAGGGTGCAGGGAGCCCCTCCATCTAAGGTTCCCACGGCTCCCCACCCTGGCCCCAGCTGTTGGGGCCGCAGCTGTCCCTGCCAGCTTGAGCCCTGGGAACCACAAGGCAGGGGCGGACAAGAGGAGGTGCTGACTTGTGCCAGATGTGGGGGCTCAGGAAGTGGCCAAAATGGGGGGTGCAGAGGCAGGAAGTGAGGGTGCTGAGCATTAAAGGGAGGTCTGAGGCTGTGTACCCAGATCCTGGGGTAATGGAGGGGGCAGCGGCAGGGAGTCCCGGGCCATGGCTCCCTCTCTTCCAGTGATGTTGGGCATCTTCTCCAGCTGTGCAGCCCTGTGCAGCGGCTCTGGGGAGAGAGGCCAGGGCATGTACCCCAGGCGTCGCCAGCATTGGGTGTTGCAGGGTGTGTGTTGAAGGGAGGGGCAGCTGGCCCCAGACATGTACTGCCCTGTCCAGCGTCCCCAACCCTGAGGGCTGTGTCCCTCTGGGGTGTGGCACAGTCTAACTGTCCTGCCAGACGGGTCTGGGCCATGGCTGGGTGTGAGCTAGTGGGGAATTGTGTGTGCTGGCAGCTGTGGAGCCACTGTGTTCACGTGTGTGTCACCGAGAGATAGAAAGATGGAGGGAGATAGAGAAAAGCAGAGGCAGATAGAAAAAAAGGAAACGAGAAGCAGGCAGAACAGAGAGAGGAGACAGAGAAGTAGAGAGACAGAGAGATAGAAAAGGAGACACCGTAGAGACAGGAGTTAAGCGAGACATGAGCATGGGCCAATATGGCACATGGCTCCTGAGGAAGGGGACAAGCAGGGACAGGACACTATCACCCCATAGGGGCCGATGCGTGTTTGCAAACTCACACTGGGGGCCATGAGACCCAGCCTGAGGGCCTCTCTCAGCTGTGGGATCTGTGAGCCACGCATGTGTACGTGATGTGCGTGGGTGTACAGACGTGTGTGCCATATGTGTGCAGGCTGGGTCTGTTGTGTATTTGGGTGTCTGTGTGTGTACGTGAGGCTGTGCATAGGTTGGATGTACCCATCTGCACGTGTGAGCTGGGCATGCCCTTGGATCTGTGTCGGTATGTGTCTGGGTGTGTGAAGACAGCATGTGCAAGGCCTTGGGCCGGTGTGCACACTTTGTGTGAACACGTGTGATTGTATGTGCGCATCAGTGTGTGAGCTGTGTGTGCCTGGCTATGTCTTGTGTGAGCTGGGGGGATGGGGGTGTCTGGGGGTGTACTCTGTGTGTGCACATCTACATCTCGATATGTGTGACCCAGGGCTGTGTGTGCCTGCGAGTGTGTGACAGACAGACCATGTGGGTGCCCGCTGGCCTGGCGGGGGCGGCAGCTCTTGCCCGGTCCTGCCCGGTGCGGGTGGGGGCAGGATGGGAGGTGGGGGTGGTGTATGGGCTTGGGAGGCCCTCGTGCGCTTCCACCCCTCCCAGAACCCAGCCCCACAGAGGCGCCCCCGGCCCCCCAGCCAGGGCTGCTGGGCCCG